CTTGCCTGTTTAACAACCCTTTCATTTCTTTGACCAGATCCGCATTGTCTTCATACGAAGTTTCCCCCGTTGTACTCAACAAACGATTGAGGGTTTTGGATGTGCTGTCTTCCTTTTCGGGATTGCAGTCGCTGCGCGTACACCGTCCATAAATATCTTCCTTTACGTCACCGTTCTCTGCTTGTGATGACGACCCTTCCTTCCTTTTCTTTGGGGGATCATCATCATCAGAGGATGATGATTCCACCACATCAGAAAAGCGAACTTTTTTCTTCTGGCGCGACATGGTTATCTTTACAGAGTTCGAAGACAAATCAGAATCCTGAAGTTCCTGACGTTGCAGCTGAATCTGTGCTTTCTTGGGCCTCGTTTCATTTTTTTCGATGTCCTCGCTGTCTAAAAATTATCAGAACACACCGATTTATAAATGAAAGAATTTAGATTAAGGAAAATTGCCAAAAATTTTTTGGAAAAGATCAAGGACATGACAAACAACGGATAACGTTACGTGATAACTACAATGCGCCATTTTGTACCATATGACAACAGTGCACCTTGGCACCAAGAAAAGACGCCCGTTTCAGGACATTGTGTGAACCAAAAAAATAGCTCTACTCGTTCATTCAGTTTTCAAGCCCGATCCTCTCTTCAAGCAGCGGGCAGAAATACACAACCCTTAATATAGAGTGAGTTAGTGAGTTTCAGAGTGTATTTTTATGATACTCTTATGATGCAGAGAGTACTAATAAAATATTGAGGATTTTGTCAGTCTGGCTGTGGAATGGTTTTCGGAATTAATGTCTTAGTGGCTACGCATAAGATACCTCATGGAATTATGCCAAGGAATACACGTCTGTAGGTATCAGTGCTGAACGATGGAGATGTGAGTATAATCTAACATTATTTAGTGACATTACGAAAAACAAAACCATACCAGATTCGATTTCAGAACAGAAACGAGTGTTTTCCTCTTCGTGAGATTGGCACAACTCAAGCAGGTCTACAAAAACCATTGTTAACCACCACGCCAAGAAAACGGTTGTTTTAAATAACCTGCCAATCCATCATCCACAAATGACCTTGGAGGACCTTTTCCTTTCCTTTTGTTGAATTTCAACAACTTCGCGTATTTCTTGATGGCTATGTCATCGTAGTCAATCGTGTCATCATAAATATCTTCATCAAAAAGATTCTAGAAAGAAAAACATATCCCGGAAATACCATATACTAAAACTGAATTTACAACTGAATACATTTGGTTTAGAAGAACGTTCTGTGCTGTCTCTGGAACACTTTTTGACATTTGCCTTACGCTTCATTGTTGGGTCCTTCACTTGATTCGATAAGTCTTTTTTCGTCCGTGACGAACGACCCGAAATCTTGGAATAAACATCATTCACCTACAAAGCATTTAACCAAATACATCAACAAACAAACAGTCAAATATTACGCAATGTGAAACAGGATTCTATCAAATATCAGATTAAAATTTTACTGATTGAGGCACATCACCGATATAGAAATCTTCTTCCTTCTATGGTTTCTCAGTTAATAGTAGTCAATGCCTATATGTTTTTAGATTTTTGAACAATTCCTGCAGTTTTGTATAATTTTTTAGGTCATCGCGGCACCACTTCTTTGATTTTCCCCTTTTCATCCCTGGAAGCCTTGGCTACATTTCCAATGTACTTTTTTTGGATTTTCTTTTGCCTTGACCGAACCAGTGGAGCCTGCTTTCGATAAGCTTTTCTAAATTTGATAGTACAATAAAGTTACTTCTTATGGAGGTACTCCGGATGTGTTTTTGCTGGCACCACACGTCCATATGAACATTCGCATTTCTGCTGAGTTCAGCTGTTGCACATGTCTCTTCAGGGTTGTCAAACATTCCGCTCCATGCAGAAGTACTGGTCTTACTTACTAACGTCACCCTTAGCCTGATGGACATCTTACTGCGTGATACACTTCTTACCTCTTTCCAACCGATTCAAGTTTTTGCTGATCGATGCCTCGACTATCGATTTACCCTTTGTTTTGAATGAGGCAGCAAATCCTGTTGAATTCTTCGGTATAAGGAAGTATATTCCAGCTACCTTCACTTATTCCTTGGTTTTCCAATCTGTCGCATCCCCTTTCCATTAAAATAGCCTGCCACGTATTCGAACTTGCATGCGTGAGAAGAAGGCCGCTTTACTTAAAAACTCAACTACATGCCTAGATTCTACTGTTTGTCTGGTTAAACTGCTCAACATCACGTCATATGCATGGAGTTGCGTCACGCAGATGTTTAGTCATCGCTTCTCTAGCCATCATAAACAGAAACGATCTCAACACTGAATACAGACAGACTCTGCGAACTGTTGTTGTTATTCGATGGTACGTCTTTGGTAAGTCTAACATATTTTTCTGACAACAGCTACTTTCTCATGCTCCCCCAAATCTCTCCATTAGTATTCGATCAGAAGCTTCCTCCGGGTCTAGGAATAGCACGCCAATGCCGCTCGAATGCATATTGTTTATTTATCTCCGACGAAGGGTGCATTTATTACGAAAGTCGTCAACACTATGTTAGCTGAACTAATCAGGCCGGCTGCTCGGATCACCTCTTCAAGTAGCACATCGCCACCGCCGGATCACAAACTGAATAACGGCGGATGATTTTGCTCTTGCGTTGGTAACCATATTGAAATGCGGCACAAAGCGGTTTATTTATACTGAACGCCAAAACAGCTGGTTTGTTAGTTATAGACCATTATCGATATATT